TCTCTCTCTCTCTCTCTCTCTCTCTCTCTCTCTCTCTCTCTCTCTCCTCTCTCTCTCTCTCTCTCTCTCTCTCTCTCTCTCTCTCTCTCTCTCTCTCTCTCTCTCTCTCTCTCTCTCTCTCTCTCACTCACTCTCACTCTCACTCACTCGGAAGACCCACGGGAACGGCCATAGAAATGTCGGGACGGATAGACAGTCTATCTATCTATACTGTAGTATCTGTATGGGATCATCACATAAGAGCATAATCGTGAAACAATGCGGCTGCTACCGTCTAGACTAGACCAATGTACTTTTTTGTCACCACGGAGGAGCACCTAGAAATGTGTATATAGGAAGCAGGGGGTTCATAATAATAATATTATTATTATTATCAAGAGACTCTTGTGATTATACAGCCCACACGTAGTTCACCCCGCAGCGTAACAAACATAACACAACGTAATGAATGCACGAAACAGAATGGAATAGTAAATTAGTAACGCATGTAAAAGAGCTCGAGACTCGGAGTCCAATCACACACAGGAAGAAGAGCTAGTCAGCATATACCTTATATAAGGATGTTTTCCTCGAGACAGCAGACTCTCTCCCTCTTTTTCTCCCTATCACTCTCGCTTTCTCTCACGCTAAAACTACACACCGGCCACCTACCACACACACACGCACACACCCGCTAGAAGTAGAAGGGCGACGACTCACCTTACTACCATGTTGTCCTGATATGTCGGTCCCGGATGCGTGGAATGCTGGCTGCACAGGTGCAGACTAGACGAGCTCTCAGCCTTCTTTGGTAATAGGATCGGAGACGTGCGACTGGGACTGGTCGGCGGGCTGCCACCGCAGCACACACGTGACCCATCACTGCAACCATAGAAACGTAGACTCACTACAGATGCTAATATAAGGCGCGTTCACACGGACGTTTTTGGCCTGAGCCTAATTAGGCCCGTGCCAGATTTGGCTCGAGCCGAGCGTTCACACGGACGTTTTTGGCCCGAGGCTAATTAGGCCCGTGCCAGATTTGGTCCCATCGAAAACGTCGGACCAGGCCCGAGCCAAATTTTAGCACCAGCTTTCGGCGAGCGCTAGAATCGGTTGAGCAGTAAATGCCGCGAGTGTCGAACGTGTACTTTGACGAAATATAGTCCAAAACAGTATAAAAATTCGAGAAATTTGATCAAGATGCACGTTTTCAAGATTGATAATTAAACTCGGAACGTAAGTAAACACTCTGAATCGTACATAACGCCATCTCGCGACATACTGCCAAAGTATCTGTGAGATATTTGTGCAATAAAATTTATTTAAATTTGAATTTAAATTTGACAGACAGTATTCACTTGCGTACGTGTGAACGCTCCGACTCAAACCGGCCCGAGCCAAATCTAGCCCATTTGGCTCGAGCCAAACCATGACCGTGTGAACGCGACTACATAGAAGCTACATGAATACTATAAAATTTTGCACAGAAGAGAGATAGTGATCCGCTAAGGGACGGCTCTGATTGACTAATTTTGTCTCTTATTTATTTTATTTTTTATTATTTTTGGCTAATTTTGTTTTATTTTAGAATTATGGATAAGGTTAGGATTAGGATTAGGATTAGGATTAGGGTTAGGGGTGGGGTTAACTGATTTCAATATCCACAACTTATTTTTACTAATAATGTGCCATCTAGCGGATCACTATCTCTCCCCTGAGACCTACTAAATGCTATATGACTGACTGCAAGACAGACGAATGGAATAATTGATAGATGTGTGTAGTACTGTGTACAACCACGGTGTGTGCGTGGAGATCGGAGTGTGTGTGTGTGCGCTGGCGTACGCGTGCGTGCATGTGCGCGCTTGTGCGTATTCATGATCGCGCGCGCGGTGTACGTGCATACACGCGCCTATGTGTGCGTGCGTGCGCACGGACGTGTTCCCCGCCGCCGCCCGCCCGAGTTCCCGCCATCAAATCAAATGCTGCGCGCGCACGCGGCGCACACACAACGTGAAGGTACGAGAACATTTGCTTAAATAAACACACACCGCAAACACGCGCCTCTACGAAAAAAACAGACCGAACGGTGGGGGGAAGGGGAGTGGAGGCGGATGTCTCGATCGATTTGAACGCAAGGCAAGGCGGAAGGATGCGGGCAGAGGCGCGCGCAGTATAGTATATAGCACGAGGGCAATTGATGCACGGATGTAGCATTGTGTGGATAGAGACAGAGCGAGAGAAGGCGAGGGGGAGGAAAAGAGTGAGCGGAGGGAGAGAGGAGAGAAGAGGGGGGAACAGAAGGGGGAAGAAGAACGGAGAGGGTGACATGGGGAAAGGGTGGGAGATATAAAACAGCTATGAGCGAGAGAGGTAGGCTGATGTAGAGAACGAGCCAGAAAGAGAGAGAGAGAGAGAGTGAGAGAGAGAGAGAGAGAGAAGAAGAGAGAGAGAGAGAGAGAGAGAGAGAGAGGAGAAGACGAGACGA